AAAAAAAAAAAAAAAAAAGAAAACCGTTTGTTAGCATTTTAATGAGCCCCCTGTCCAGCAGCTTCATGCTACCCAGACACAGCGCCCCCACCCCCAACACCCTTACTCTCCTCAGCTCTTCTGCTGAAGAATTTGGCTTTCACGATGACAGGCTGCTTTGGGAGCTTTCCCTTCCCAAGAACTTTGTAGTAGCCCGATCGCACTACATCAATGATGGGAGCTGCTCCAGTCTTGTTTTTGGCAGCATTTACTCGTGTCTGCTCACTGACCAATGTCCACAGTTTATCAAGGTTTGCAGTTGGGCAGAAGCTCTGGTTTCTCTTTAAGTGGTAATGCCTCATACCAACCTTCCCAAAGTAACCTGGGTGATATCTGTCAAAGCTGATCCTGTGATGATGCATGCCACCAGCATTACCCCGGCCTCCAGGGTGCTTCCGGTGCTTGCCCATGCAGCCATGGCCATGGCTCACATGGCCCCGAAGCTTCCGGATCTTCCTTAGTCTGGAGGGCATGTCGGCAGCCAAGGTGAAAAGCAATAATAGATTTTTAACCTTGTATACCCAAACTATATCTTCTGTGCTATTAGCAGTATCAGAATTTACTGACACTTTCCTTTCAAATGAATTTGACAAGATCTAGTATGTGTTTGACAGTAACAGAGCATCCAGGGTCCACTGGCCCTGGCACAGGTACTCAGCAACCACATATAGGAGTTGGTGCACTGCCTGCCACCACAGCAGAGACTCTCACTGTGTCAAGAACATGGATGGCTGCAGAGTCAGCTTTGGGGGAAGGTGTCGGGCCACTGCTCCCGCGCTTAGGGGAGCCCATGCTGTAGAAGAAGTGGTACACCTTTCTCAGAGGCTCCTCAGTGTCCCCTAGCACAGCCTGAAGCTTTTCCCAAGGCCTAGGCCTGGCCACTGGCCACTGGCCACAGGAGGCTTACTAAGTAGGGGTCTCAGGCCCACACCAGAGTGAGGAGGCAGAAGTCAGGCTGACCAGCGGGTGACTGCCAGCTAAACATCACCTGCACCAGCAGAGGGCGTGCAGTCCCCAAGAACCATGGACCAGGGCTAAGCTAGCTTGGGAGGCTCCCATAGGAAAGGGAAGACTTACCCAGAAGGCTACAGAGACTGGAGGGGAGGCAGAGGGCTAGCAAACACAGAGAAAGGCAGGGGAAAGAGACAGGAACTAAGAAGAGAAGGCTGGGGAAGAGAGTTGCCAAGATATGGGAAAAGAAGCACAAAGGTGGAGAGATGGATAAAGAACCAGAGACATGGAGCCAAGCAGGACATGGGGAGAGAAGTGAGCTTACCACAGACGTAGGCTGCTCAGAGACAGGTCTGCCTGGCACCCAGATCCAGCTCCTGATCACTCCCCCTACCCCACCCCTGGTGCCCACCCTGCTGGGATCACCTATCCCTTGGCATCTTCCATGGAAATGATGGAAAGATCAGAGAGAGAAGTGGAGACAAGGCAGGGAACAGAAAGGGATGCCTGAGCTGGACAAGAACAAGGGCAAGTTCCTAAGTCCTGTGCCTCAGTGTCGCCGTCTGTAAAGTAGGGCTAAAGAGAGCAGCCTCCCATGTTCACGTGAGGGCTCAGGAGAGCCTTGGCACCTGATAAGGCTCCACAAGTATCATTTTGTCACCGCATCTCTGCCGCATGTCAGCCCTCTCCAGATGCCACAGTTCTCCCCTAGGAAGGTAACACAGCATCTGTGCCCCAGGGGAGCAGCTGCAGCTCAGAGGGTCCTCGCACCAGACACTGCCCCATGCTCAAGCTGCAGCCCAGGTTTCCTGATGCTGCAGCCTTTACTCAGGAAGCTGCTACCAGCCACTTGTTCTGGGAGCTAGAAGGTGGCTGCTGGCCTGGGAAAGCAGTAGGGCCAGCCTTGTGATGTCTTCCTGTGTCACAGAACATGTGTGTACATGCAGGCAATATGGAGCTAGCAGTGAGCAAGCAGCCCCTTGGGACACACACACGCACAGCTAGCCCTCCCAAGCCTGATGTGGGGATCACTCTACCCATCCTCACTCCCATCTTACTGGTGTAGTGTTTGAGGTTCCAAAAGGAGAGTGAGCTTACCACAGACATAGGCTGCTCAGAGACGGGTCTGCCTGGCACCCAGATCCAGCTCCTGATCACTCCCCCTACCCCACCCCTGCTGCCCACCCTGCTGGGATCACCTATCCCTTGGCATCTTGAGGCTCTGGCCTGGGACTTGGCTCCAGTGATGCCAGCTTTGCCTGGGGATGTAGGGAGGAGAGAGCCCTGGTCTCTGGGGCGGGCTGAGAGACAGGAGATACAGCGGGTGGGATCGATGCCGGCTGCCCGCGCTTTATTGGATTGTTCCTGGCTTTGGGGGGTGGGGCTCTCCCTCATCTCCTCCCAGAATCCTCCCTTCTTTGCCCTCCCCCACACCTGGCCCCTTTGTGCTTGGCGGGCAGGGCTGGAGAAGCCGGGAGGCCTGGGTGATCTCAGATGTATTCCCAAGTCCTTTGGACACAGCAGGCAGAGCAGGGGACTTGCTGGGCTAAAAGATTGGATACACATTGGGGCGGGAGGGGGGACCTCAAAGACCTCATGTTGCTGCCCACCCAGGGCTTCCACTGTCCCCTACCACCCCCTGCCTGAGCCAGCTGCAGTTGAATCCTCTGCCCTGGGAGCCTAAGGGCTAAGGACAGTGTTGCCCTCTTCCTCTCTGCTCTCTGACTGGAGGCTACACTCTCTTGTCCTCAGTTAACCACTGGGAGCAGCCGGAGGATGGGAGCCTGGGGCCACTGCTCAGCTTGGAGGAGCAGATACTCAACTCCACATTTGAAGCCTGTGACCCTCAGAGGACAGGTGGGTGGGGTATGCTGGCTCCCCAGAGCAGGATGGGGATGGGAATGACAGGACTGGCAAGGTTCTTCCCTGGGCTCCTGCAGAAGCAAAGTGGGTGACTGTGGGAAGCTTCATTGAAGAAGATAAGGTGAGGCAAACCTGGGTCCAGGGGGGAACAAGGATGCTGTCTCTCAGCTTGGTCCTCATTGGTCCACTTGGTGAGGTGGGGTGACTGGGTCTGATTTCCAGATGGAAAATTTGACTTAGGGGAGAGAAAGACACTTACCTAACAGGTCCCCCAGGCTGTGGGGCAAGGATACCACCAGTCTAGCCAGTAATATCCTGCACCCATGCTACATGCCACCCACCCTCACAGTGCATGCTGTGTCCCAGGCACTGTGGCTGTGACCCGAGTGCTGGCTTACCTGGAGGCTGTAACCGGCCAGGGCCCCCAGGACGCACGCCTTCAGACATTGGCCAGAAGCCTGGACCCCAACAAGGAGGGCTCTGGGGCTACTGTGGACTTGGACACCTTCCTCGTGGTCATGCGGGACTGGATTGCTGCCTGTCAGCTGCACGGGTGAGGCCGTGTACCTCCAGCCCTTCTGGGAAGTCCTTCCCAAAATCTCACTGAAAGCCAGGCACTCCCTGAGAAAAGTAAAGAGATGGGGCGGGAGCAGGTGGAGTGTGGCTGGAGGACAGAATGCTTTGAGTGAGGAGGGCTGGACCAGGAGAAAGTGGGGAGGCTCAGGGCCCTCTGCACCCCTTCTCAAATCCAGTCCCCCCCCCCCTCCTGCTTTCCCATCTGGCCCCAGGCTTTCGCCATCTGGCCTCACCTTCCTCCCTACAGGGCAGCGTTCACCTGACCTGGCCCCTCCACTCACCCAGCCACAGCCCCTGCAGGGCCAGGTCAGGATGGCTGGGTGGCTGCAGGGAGCCTAAGCCTCATCCCTTTGATATAGGGGATTAGAGCTGGGAGAGGAGACCGCCTCTGAGGGAGCCCTGACTTCCCTGCAGCTGCCATCTGGTGAGAGTGCTATATATAGAGTGAAGCAAGTGAACCTAGGGTCAGCCTGTGGGGGGACTTCCCACAGGGTGGAGGAGGGAATAACGTGGGACCAGGATCTTTGCTCTTGCCTGGAGTGGTGGCTGGCTTTCTAAGTGCCTGTGTGCAGGCTCCTTCATCCTTCCTAGAGTTTTGGGGATGGGCTTCTTGGGATTTTTTCACCCTTTCCTGCCTACATCAGCCCAATGATAGAGAGTTTTTCTCTAGTCCCCCGGACTCTACAACACAGATACCACCTGGCCCTGGGCCAGGCTGTTTTCCAGCCTGACTCTCTGTACCTTCCTCAGCCTTTGCATCTCAAGCAGAGGGGAAACCCTGAGCTGCCCAGGCCAGTGGCTCTTGTTCCCTCCACTCACAAACTTGTTCACTTTTCTCTCAGAGCAGTTGTCACCTGCTTAGTCCCCACCCTCCTATTGGATTAGTGTTACCCTGTGCCCAGAACCTCCCATCTAGGAAGTACTCAGCCTCCTGAGTGCAGCTCAGCAGTAGAGCCCTTGCCTAGTATGGCTGAGGCACTGGGTTCTATCACCAGCTGAGAGAAGGAGAAAAGGTATATTTCTTCATCCTTACAAAGCCAAAAGTGCAGATTTCTTGATGTCTTCTTGAACCTCCTCATGTGCTTGGGGCCAGGGGAGGGCTGTGAGCCCACAGGGATGGGCCAGACAGTGTAGGACCAAGAGGGGAAGGATGGAGGGAGAGACCAGAGTCCAGGAGGCTGGGGGAGAGGCTAGGAGTAGCACAGGGACAGAGATGAAAGGATGGAGCAAGGGAGAGCTGGGCTGCTACATGAGGAAGGAACCAGGAGAGCCTGGTGGTTGGTGGCTGGCAGGAGACCTGGGAAAAGAAATTGGTCTGAGGAAGTTGGGGTGCCCCCAGTATGCAGAAGGAATGGGGAAGGGAGTTATCCAAATGATCCAGCCTGAGCTTCGGAGAACGATGATCCAGAAGCCTTTGCAGTGGCAATACCACAGCTGTGGGAGTGTGGGGAACCCCAGAGCAAAGGTGGGGTATAAGTTGCACTCCAGCATTGAAGGTCACCATAGAGCCTAACCCACTGTTGTCTGTTCCCCTTCAGGATGCCCAGAAGCTGAGGAGCCATCCAACCTGGAGAGCTTTGGAGGCGAAGACCCCAGGCCTGAGCTGTACCTATCCTCAAAGCCTGGCCCACCCTCACCCTGCCCTGTGCTCTCCAGCTGCCTAGGTTGGGTGGGGCTTGATACCCACTGGTGACTGATGTGGGTGCAGAACAGGGGCCTTGCTAAGCACAGGGACAGCAGAGAAATCCAGCTCCTCTTTTTTCTCCAGAGCCGCCCCATCTCCCACCCCCAGCACCCACCACATCTGGGCAAGGACACAGGGCAGTGCAATGACCCCACATTTCACTCCCCAGGCCTGCCACTGCTGATCTGCTGAGCAGCCTGGAGGACCTGGAGCTCAGCAACCGACGCCTGGCCGGGGAGAATGCCAAACTGCAGCGCAGTGTGGAAACAGCCGAGGAGGGCTCGGCTCGCCTTGGGGAGGAGATCGCAGCCCTCCGCAGGCAGCTCCGCAGGTGGGCTACTAGCCTGCCGCCAGCTGCCTCCAGGGCCCCAGCCCAGCCTCCTCTGCATCTCCCACTTGGGTCTTCCCCCCCGCCCCGCCCCCAGAACTGGGGATTGAACTCAGACCTCTGTGATTGCCAGGCAAGCACTTATTCCACTGAGCCATCTCCCTGGCCCCATCCCACTTGGGTCTTTGATTCCACCTCTATGCTCAATTCTACATCTGTGCCTCTTGTTTGTCTGACTTTTAGCTTTCTCTTTCACATCTCATTGTTCCTATCTCTCAGCCTTATTGGTTTTGTCTATTTTTTCCTTTAAGTGTGGACCTCTCCCCCAAACCAGTACTCATGGTTGAACCCAGTCCCTTCACAGTGAGCTGCATCCCTAACCAGAGTCTCACTCTGTAGCTCAGGCTGGCCTTGAGCTTTTGACCCTCCTGCCTCAGCCTTCCAAGTGCTGGGATTACAGGCATAGACACCTCTATCCTTCTCTTTTGGATCCTGTGTCATTGGCCTTGTCCTTCCTCTGTGCTTGTTGTACCCCCTGTCTGTCATGGTCCTGCTCTTTTAGTCTCTCACTTTTAGGTTTCTAGTCATTAGATTGGAACTGGATCTCTATAGCCCCTGCTACGTCATTGTCCCCTCCCTGTGTGTCTTGTTCTGGCCCACTCTGAGTGTCTGCTGCTTCCCTCCCTACTGTGGGATTTCTCTGGCTGCTGTCTGCCTGAGTGGATCTCTCTGTGTGTCTCTCTACCTGCCTTGCCTCACATGGCTCCCTGGCCCTTCCCGATCAGCACCCAGCAGGCTCTGCAGTCTGCCAAGGCCGTGGATGAGGAACTCGAGGACCTAAAGACTCTGGCCAAGAACCTGGAGGAGCAGAATCGAAGCCTCCTGGCCCAGGCCCGGCTGACGGTGGGTGCTGGGCCTCTTCCCTCCTTCCTGGAGTCAGAGGAATTGCTCCAGGTCCTGCTCACTTTCTACCTACCATAGTGACAACAGGAGTCATTCTTCTAGCCCTGGGTCAGGTTGGATTGGGTTGGAGTTTTTGTTTTCTGAGACAGGGGCTCCCTTTGTAGTCCAGGCTGACCTTGAGCTCTGTGTAGCCTAGGCTGGCCTCAAACTCATGGTGAGAATGGGGCTTTGGGGGTTAAATAAAAAAAAAAAAACTTGGGGCCAGGGAGATGGCTCAGTGGAATAAGTGCTTGCCTGGCAATCACAGAGGCCTGAGTTCAATCCCTGGTTCCACCAAAAAAAAAAA